ACCCCGTTTACGGCTGTTTAATTGGGAGGGTACCATTTATGTACCATATAAAGTGACTATATGGAGGGTACCCCCTAATTAATAAACCATGGTTTATTAATCCGGGGTTGACATTACATATATCCAGCAACCAACAGACGACACTAGTCATCAGTTTGTTGGATATTGACCAGCAACTTACCTCGAATCATCAAACAATCAGGATAAGACAAGTCCTTATCTCTCTGGTAATTTAACGTAGCTATGGAAATTCTCAATGTTTAAGAATTAAATCATCAGAAATCATCTATACAATGGGCAATTTTCTCTGATGTTAAATAACCAGATGGTCATATTCCATTGTTTGGGTATCAAATGGAATGATCATAGGTTGTCCAAAAAATGGTGGGATATCGGGACGTCCGTAAATGACACGTTTTATGGAGAAACTGGAAACTTGTTGTCGAAACCGTTAATTTTAGGATTCGCTATTATCTGACAAACCTAGATACCCTCCAGCAATCAAACGTGGCAATTGATCATCTCCCATTTATACAATGTGAGGCCCCCCAGTTATGTTTGTTGGTTTATAAACCCCATGAATACTATAGTTATTTGCGTACCATAAACCATAGATATTGGAGTTATGTGAACCCCACCTTAGCTATCGAACGGGGGCCTCCCATTGTATATATAATGGAATATATATATATATACTGGATTTGCCGATGAAAGACGCCATGTTTTAGGGGATTTCCCAGCTAGCCATGTTTCACCGAGACGGGTGGCCTATACCATCTGCAGACGTTTGGAAGCAGAGCCATATGGAGGATTCATGAAATAGTACCCCCAGTTCTCATCCATTTCTAGATGGGATTTTTCAACTTGATATAAAAAAAAAAAACATGTCTAGATCGGGATACCCCCATGACTATGGAAATCTGCATGATATGGATAAGACGATAAGACGACAGGATGCGCGTCGCCGCATTGGTGTGCCTTTGATTGTCCATTTCTCGGCCATGGATGAAGAGTCTCCACACAAACCCACATGGATTTATATAATGAGATTTAGTGGGATTTTAATGGGTTTTGGAACCATATTTCAGCATAGTCCATCCGATGCTGACACAAAATATGCGTGTCTGCATGTGTCTGCATATGTTTGCTATTTCAAAATTGTCATAGAATGGGCAAAGATTCCCCAACATAGTAGCATATTGAAAAAATACCAAAGGTTTTTTGAAGTATTTTAACATCGCGTATCTTGAAATAGTCAAAACTCTAACTGTGTTGATAATGAATAGTGAAATCTTACTATAATCAGTTGACAACATATCTTACGTCTCATGTCAAATTTATTGCTCAATTATGGTTGATTGATCAAACATGTAGTTTATTAATTATCAAGTTCACTACGTATAGTTTGGTTGGTCTCACATAAAAAAAGTATAATATATGTATACATACCTAGTAATCTTAAAAAAATGATCATCAACTATAGTTGATAGTTTAATTTAATCTCATAGTTTAGTTTTCCCATTATATTCCCACTATATTCCCATTATATTGACATTATATTGACATTATAGATGATTATTAGCTATAACTTTATAGTTTGGTTCATCAAGTCTCCTCGTTCCCCATGGTCCCAACATCTCCGATTTCGCCGGATTTGGGACTGTCCTCCAGGACTGCCGGGTGCCTGCGTCGAACTTGATCGGCGAAGAGGGTGCGGCTCGCCGGACGGGGGCACGTTTGGAGAGATTTTTGTTCCAATGATGGACATTAATGATGGTTAACAATGGCTGCATAATGACTCTCAATGATTATATAATGAATATTAATGATATTTAATGATGTACAATGATATATGGAAAGCTGCTGGTACCTGCTAGTTATTCTGGATGGTTGCGAAATCCTGCACCACCTTGGATGGTTGAACCCCTAGAAACAATGGATTTTGCCCACCTATCGTGCAAGATTTCGCAACCATCCACTGTATCAAATGTCCCCAAGAGATGAATTCCCAATTACAATCAATGTGATATGTGTAACATATATATATATACGGTAACGACATTTAAATATGCTGAGGGCGGGCAGACCGCGAGGCCCAGGAGGTAGTATAAGATACCAGTTCATATATATTTTGAATGTAGTTACCGTATATAAATACAATAAAAAATGCTATCAGTTACTATACATCAATTGCTAGGGGGCGCAGTTCCGGTTATAATATTTGGTAAAGAAAAATAATAATTCGACAACCATCAACAATGGGAACAGTTGTGGTTGCAGTTTTGCTGTTTTTTCTTTTATGGGAGATAATCGAAGGAAGTTTAGAAGTCAAACTTCCGACAATATGGACAGATGAAAAGCAGAGCAGGGAAGAGGCAGAGAGAAGAGAAAGATTAGAAGAAAGAAGAGTAATAAGAAGAAAGAAGATGCAGATGCGCGAAAGGTAGGAAAGTCGCGAAACACTGTGTTTTTCCAATGATTTGGGGCTCCGGAGGGTCGAAAAGTAGGCTCGCTAAAGCGGCGGGTGCGGAGACATCTGGGGAGATGAGAGATGAAAAGTTGCACGCCGTTGTGGCGCGAAGCCGATTTCGAAGTGAAAAGATACAAAACACCTCAGCGCCGGACCACTTTTGGAAGTTGAGATGTTGAAAAAGTGCACGGCGTTGTAGCGCGAAGCACATTTGGAAGTAACATGTGTTTAAAACTGAGGGGATCGGAGCAGTTTTGGAAGATGAGATGTTGAAAAAGTGCACGGTGTTGTGGCGTGAAGCACATTTGGAAGTAAAATGTGTTAAAAACTGAGGGTTCGGAGCAGTTTTGGAAGTTGAGATGACGAAAAAGTGCACGGCGTTGTGGCGCAAAGCACATTTCCAACTCAAAATGCACAAAACCACATGTTCGCGCTACTTTTGGAAGTTGAGATGTCGAAAAAGTGCACGCCGTTGTGGCGCGAAGCACATTTCGAAGTGAAAATGTACAAAACACACCATTCTCGGACCACTTTTGGAAGTTGAGATGTCAAAAAAGTGCACGCCGTTGTGGCGCGAAGCACATTTCGAAGTGAAAATGTACAAAACACAACATGGTCGGACCACTTTTGGAAGTTGAGATGTCGAAAAAGTGCACGGCGTTGTGGCGAGAAGCACATTTCCAAGTCAAAATGTTAAAAGCACTAGGGGTTCGGACCACTTTTGGAGGTTCAGATGTCGAAAAAGTGCACGCCGTTGTGGCGCGAAGCACATTTCCAAGTCAAAATGTTAAAAACACTAGGGGTTCGGACCACTTTTGGAAGTTCAGATGTCGCTTCGCTTCGCTTCGCATCACTGCACTACATTGCACTACACTACGCTCCACTACACCAAACTACACTACATTACACTACACTGCACTCCACAACACTACAACTACAATCACACTCCACTACACTTTACACTACACTACACTCCGCTACACTCCACTACACTACACTACATTACACTACACTGCGCTCCACTACACTACACTACACTACATTACACTACACTACACTACACTACCTTCCATCACACTTCACTACACTCCACTACACTACAACTACACTCCACTACACTCCACTACACTAAATTACACTACACTAAATTACACTTCACTACACTACATTACACCACACTACACTCCACTACACTACATTACACTACACTACACTACCTTCCACTACACTTCATCACATTACACTACACTACACTCCACTACAACTACAACTACATAACTACGCTCCACTACACTCCACTACACTCCACTACACTCCGCTACACTAAATAACACTACACTACATTACACTACACTCCACTACACTACACTACACTCCACTACACTAAATTACACTACACTTCACTACATTACACTACACTACACTCCACTACACTACACTACATTACACTACACTACCTTCCACTACACTTCACTACATTACACTACACTACACTCCACTACACTACAACTACAACTACAACTACACAACTACACTCCACTACACTAAATTACACTACACTAAATTACACTACACTACATTCCACTACTGTCCACTACACCACACTATATTACACTACACTACATTACACTGAATGACACTGCACCACAGACAGATAGGTAGACAGATAGATAGACAGATAGACAGATAGATGGGCACCGCGTCAGCATGGAGGTGCTCACCGAAGCAGTCCCCCGGCGGGGGGAGATGGTGGCTGCGGACACGGCTTGGTGGGAATTGCAAGACATGCTGCCCGAGCACGCCCTGGCAGTGCGGTTTTGGGGCGAAACCACATCTTTGTGGTGGCGCTGGGCCAGAGACGCAGTCGGCGAGACGGAAGTGCTGGCCAGACTCCACGTCCCAGGCGGGCACACAATTATACCTTCCTGGTCCACCTCGCGTGGATGGGGCTGCCCGACGGCAGCGAGGGCGAGGACGAGGACGGAGAAGAGCCGGACGTGCCTGATGACGACCCAGATATCCCAGATGAAGACATCCCTGGGATTCTGGCTGGCCTCGACGAGCTCCTAGCCGTCTTGGCGAACATCCATGCCGAGTGAAGGATTGGGATCCGACCGGATCCCGACGAGGGGTGTTGTTCCATTTTTTCTCCGGGGACCCGGCCCCAAAACCATTCCGGGTGGGACGTTTGAATCTTTAATCCCAAAGTAAAGCGCAGCCTGGAGTTCAGCTACCTGAAAAAAAGTGCTGCAGAGCTTGTGCTTCGTCACTGTCGCACGGTGAGGAGACAGAACCAAAGAGAGAGAGAGAGAGAGATAGATAGATAGCTAAGTAGGTAGGTAGGTAGGTAGGTTAGGTAGGTAGGTAGGTAGGTAGATAGGTAGGTAGGTAGGTGGGAGGTAGGTAGGTGGGTAGGTGGGTAGGTGGGTAGGTAGGTAGGTAGGTAGGTAGGTAGGTAGATAGTGAGAGAAAGAGAGAGAAATAGTGAGAGAGATCAATCACCTTTCGCTCCATCAGTGGCTTCGCTCTGCCATCCCTGATTCACAACAACCAACCTCTCCTATAGGTTTCCTATGTTTAAAACTTCCGCCACCGCCTTGTGCGGTACTACTGGTAGGAATATGATTAGGAACATCATCATCTTTTTCAGACCATCTATATGTGCGGGTGGGGGTGTAGTTTCAGTAGTTCCAGTTCTGAGTGGATACAGCGGATGTATGACTATAAGTAGAGCAGTCCCAAATCTCAACTTATGGTGGTTATTGAGATTTGGGACTGCTCTACTTATAAGTGGACCCACAAAAAAACCACGAATATATAGATGGGTTAAGCAATATACGAAAAAACAAGTTGAGATTTGGGACAGCAGTCCATGTATACCACTGCAATTGCTGTATCAAGCAATATTGAAGTGGCAATGTTTCGTCATATGTTCGGCTTTGATTAGGGGGAAATCTGCAGGAAAACCATGCGTTTTCTGCGCCTCCTGCACTTAAGGCCATGGCTATTAGTTTACACTGGTTATAAATTGGATTACACATTCTATAAATTTGGTTATAAGTACTTATAACTGGTATTCCGGGCCATAATTGTGCATATGGTTTTCCCTTCAACCAATATGTTTCAACTATTTGGGTTGTCAAATTGTATGCACCAAGCCCTGGATGGCCCAATCTCCTGGTTTACCCATGGTTTACATTTTTTTGTTGAACAAAACCAAGGAAATCTTGGGGCGTGTACACATTGTACGAAGAAAATCACTGATTTTATTTTGGTATTTACATCATTTTGAACCACACCTCGACAAATATCTGGAGTTGTTGGAGAGAAAAAAATACATTCCCAGTGAGGCATGGATTCAAGGGGAATAGGTATGAAGAGGTCGTATTTTTTTGGGGATCCTCAAACAAAATCGTCCAAGTTATCTTTAACATATGTGTTCTCTATATGTCTCCATTAACTCAACCACATTTTGAGATGATGAGTGGATCAAGAATCACCGAAAATAATAGTTGAAAGGCCATGAAACGGTCGGAAATTGGATGATCGCAATGCACCTGACTTTGAAATAGCTCGGATCGAACTAGCTGGGGACTAACTCTACTGTAACAGCCAGTGACACACCTTCCACCTTTAGTAATGAAACATAACAATGGACAATCCTCCATTTATAGAAGATTTTTCCATGAACATCTCCATTTTCTATGGGATTTGTCATTGCCATGTAGTAGCCGATCATCTGCTGTGTCGATGTTTTCCACTCGGTCGCGCGCCAGGGAAGGCCACCCTGTGCATGATGAGAAATCTGGAGATCGAACGAGCACCTCAGATCCATCAGTTTGATGGTGATTGATCGATTGATCGATTGTTCCATGATAGGAAAGCAATCGGATTCCACCATCCCGAATGACTTTCCACAAAAAAAAATGGTGGAATTGACACCCATCAATTTATAAAATGGTTTATGGCATTGCTTTACCAACATCAATTACCCTCTGGTAAACAAACATAGCTATTGAAAATGGCCATAGAAATAGTTGATTTACCCTGAATAGCTTCCAAATAGTTGCTGAATAGCTTCTAAATAGCTGCTAGCTAGCTGCTAAATAGCTTCCAAATAGTTGCTGAATCGCTTCTAAATAGCTGCTAGCTAGCTGCTAAATAGTTTCCAAATAGTTGCTGAATAGCTTCTAAATAGCCGCTAGCTAGCTGCTAAATAGCTTCCAAATAGTTGCTGAATAACTACTAAATAGGTGCTAAATAGCTTCCAAATAGTTGCTGAATAGCTTCTAAATAGCTGCTAGCTAGCTGCTAAACGGCTTCCAAATAGTTGCTGAATAACTACTAAATAGCTGCTAAATAGCTTCCAAATACTTGCTGAATAGCTTCTAAATAGCTGCTAGCTAGCTGCTAAATAGCTTTCACATAGTTGCTGAATAGCTTCTAAATAGCTGCTAGCTAGCTGCTAAATAGCTTCCAAATAGTTGCTGAATAGCTTCTAAATAGCTGCTAGCTAGCTGCTAAATAGCTTCCAAATAGTTGCTGAATAGCTTCTAAATAGCTTCCAGATAGTTGCTGAATAGCTTCTAAATAGCTGCTAGCTAGCTGCTAAATAGCTTCTAAAAAGTTGCCTTCTGCAATCCAGCGCTGCTGAAAGAGACCTTGGACAAACTTGATAACAAAACCCACATCAAGCTATGTGGCAATGGGACGTTTCGGCTGACCAACGGTCAGTGGGTTCTGTTGACTGTTGGAGTTTCATCGAAGCATTATGACAAGTCGTCCGGCATCTGGGCTTTCAGCACAACCTTCAACCCGCTCATGTTCGCCTTGGCGAACAAGGAAAGTGAGCCCACATACTCCTGTCTCTTCAAGGCTTTGTGTGTTTGCGCGGAAAAGTGGACAGGGCTGGACCTAGCTCAAGCTTGTCGCCAGTATCATGCTGACATGCACCCTGGCGAGGACTTGTCTGAAAAGAATGCTTTTCCTTGTTGATGCTTCACCCCACTTCGTAGACAGGTGCATAGCCTGCTTAGGATCAACGGCATGGCGTGTTGCCGATTGGGATTGGTCGGATAGCTATGGATACATCAACATCCCTTGGGTCGATCATCAAGTCATCCATTTTCCAGTTGAAATATATACAATGTGAGGCCCCACTTAGATAGCGTTCAGTTGGGGCTTACATAACTCCAATATCTATGGTTTATGGTACGCAAATAACTATAGTATTCATGGGGTGAATCTAAACCATCTTATAACTGGGAGGCCTCACATTGTACAATATTATGTATATATAGCCTCGTCCCTGCTCTTGGAACCGCGCAAACCTGAATTAGGTTGGTAAAACTTGTCCATTCCGTGACGAAATTTAGTCGCGGAATTGGCAAGTTCCATTAGGGTCATCATCATCATCATCATCATCATCACCATCATCATCATCATCATCATCACATCATCATCATCATCAGCATCATCATCATCATCATCATCATCATCATCTGTGCGTAGCATCAACTGCTTCTGCAAGTTCACATGAACGTCAACATCCCACCCCATCCCCCCCCACCCCATCGTATGTGGTTCCAGGAGCAGGGACGAGCCTATATATATATATATACATATATATATATATATGTATATGTATATATATATATACATATACATATATATATATATATGTATATGTATATGTAAATATGTGTATATATATAAATATGTATATGTATATATAACGTATATATATATATTTCAAATAGATACTTGTATGGTTATATAGTAGTTTCAAACCAGTTCAAACATATATCTGAATGGATAGATTTTCCAAGGAAGATCGGAAACCGGTGGGTAGTGTGTTTATGCAGCGAAATTTGGAAGGATTTAGGATGTGGCTGAAAGCTGCCGGCATGGGGGGAATGGAGGAATTGGGTGACTTCCAGTGCCCCATTTGGGCACCGCTAGGGCGGACGTGTGCTCCTTCAAAAGCCCTTGGATGCAGGACACCGAGCCGAGCTGGAACTAATTTATGGTGGCACCAGGCTCTGCGGAAAGAAACCTTCCTCAAATCTTTTGTGGAACCTTAAAAAGTCGCAATTTCCAAAGGAACCTCATCTTCCAACATCATTCTTGGGTTCGAAAAGCAACATTTTTGGGCTGAAACACCTTTCGATCTGGAGAATCTCTTAGCTCTACTGCGGTGTTGTTCATTGTAGCATTCAGATGCATGCAGAGGAAAACAGAACAGATGTTAATGTATCGGACATTCTTCCAACATTCAAACTCTCAAAATAGTTATCTCTTGAGTTCAGAAACGGTATACAGTCAGATTTTCCATATAATGCTCTTAGGCCATCTTAGGCCCAAACATCAACATCTTTTCCACCGCCCACCTCGCCACGGACCGGATTCAAGAAACCAAACCGGCCTAACCCCGTCAGGAGCCTGTTGCGAAGCCTGCCAAGCCGATGCTTCCTGCACAGATTGGTCAATTAGCAAAGGGAGCTGCTACTCAGCTGTGATGTCAGCACGACTTGGGATGTCTATTTGGGTGTAACAAATGGGTAGGGTATGACTTAGAACTCTTAGAAAAGCTGGACGTAGACGTTACCAGAGGTTTTTTGTTGCCACTGTCTCACAAAAAACAGCTAGTTTTGAGGGTTGAGAGTTTTGGATCCACAGTCTTTACGAAAAGTCTACCGCTGAGGTGTGCTCCTACAAGATGCTGAAGGCAACACCTTGGGGAGGGTAGAAGTTCTGATATCCGAGTCGTCCTCAAAAGTATGAGTTCTCTCAAAGTGTCTCCAAATCTCTCAGTACTTCCGCTCAGTCCATAGATATAGCTGATTGAAACCTTGGTGAACTGCATGGCCATGTATGGCCACTCAAAACTGAGCTGACTGTGACTGGAAAACTGCGAAACCCATGGACATCACCTCCAGCCTCTGGGAGAAAGGTCGGTCGAAAAACTGACCGAAAAACTGTGATGAGTTTTTCGCCCACAGACTTGCTGCAGAAAGACGCTGCGTTTTGACTCCAAGTTGGATGGTGTTGGATGTTGCATGGTGATCCTAAAAGAATCATAACACACAACGGTCAGCCATTCCAAACCATTAATTCATGTCGTGTCACAAATGGTGACATCACGACACGTGCTGAATGACGATCTTCTGTCCTGTGAGCTCTTGGCCAATTATTCTTGACCCAAAAAATGCTGGCATAGGCAAAAAGCCATGGATATGTTTTGATTTTGCGGAGTCTAGAATCATTGGAATCATTGGCACCCCACAAAGTCACTGTACCACGAAGAAGTCACAGTGTCCATTGGTACCTGCCTATGTGGTCACCGGGGATCTGGATCAGTGCCTTTTCGCAGGTTGGACGCCCGAAGAAGGCGCCATAGCAGGAAGGTGCGCAGGATTACAGCGGCCGGAGATCAGTGGAATCCCAGTCTGCTGGCCATCCGTTGGCCGTTTTTGGCACCACTCACCATATCAATGGCCATTTCAGGAACCTAAATTGGAGGTACCTACCATATATAAGGCCTATGTAAGGGCTATGTAAGGGAATATCCCCACAAAATATGGCCTGAAATATGGTACAGTACCTCCATCTGTTGGATCCTGGAATTCCCATTGACCATATTTTGCCTGCAAGATTTGGTTTCAGTACCCCCAAAAGTTGTGATATGGGCCTCCCATAATAGGATGGGTGTGTATCCATGCAAATTCTGTGGAACTTCCTGCAGTGATATCCCTCAGATCCCATAGTTTTGTCTGACTTTTTTCCCATGAAAAATCACAAAAAACATCCCACCGTTGATCCTCATTTTCCCATAACAATTGCCATAAATCCCATGGTTTATCCTCATTCTCCCATGAAAATCCTCCTTTTCCCATTTTCACATCCTCATTTTTCCACGGGTTTTTCCCATGAAATTCCCATGGAAACATGGCCACGAAATTGGATCCGCCAGGTCGCAGGGTCTTCTGCTTTTCAACAGCTCGGGGCGCCTCTACGGGCGCGGAGCCGGGCCTCAGGATGCGTTGCAGCTGCTGGCGGAGGGGTCACCGGTGTCCTTGGTGCCGCAGCTGAAAAAAGCGGGAGAAATCTCAGTGAAGGTGGTTGAATAACGGTTTATATTTGATATAAATACGTTTATATATGTTTATATGCTGAATTTTGATGGAACATATAAGAATAATGGTTTATCCTTAAGATAACCAATAAAGATAATACAGATAATCATTAAGTAATGGTTAAGGACTTATGAACCAAAGATAATAATGGTTAATCATTAAGATCTTTAGTTAAGAAGTCCTTGGTGAATCACTGATCTTTATTGGTGCAGCTACTTAAGATCTTTATTGGTTAATTGATGCCACGTTATTAACGATGATTGATTAACCACATTTAACCACCATTGTTCACCATTCTCGCCACTAATCATAATGATTAACCATCATCAACCATTATTAGTGGTTAACTAATCATCAACCATTTATTAATGATCATTAATCACCCATCCTTGACCCTTGATCATAATTGACGGTCCCAGCTGAGTCACCAATAAAGATCTTAACGATCGAGCAATAATGATTTATTATTAACATCTACTAACCACTATTAATACTATTAGTTACTCAAATATCTTAATTAACACATATTAACACCAATAAAAGATCTTAATGATTAAGCAATCATGAGTATTCACCATTATTCACCCACTGTTTGATGGTGGCACAAATCCCAAAAGATTCTCACTTAGTTCTGAGCAATGCGGGCAATGCGTTAGAATCCCTGATGGTTGATGCTCACGTGTTAAAAGTTATGCTATGTTTTTTCAACAGGGATATGGTGATTACGGAGCAATTCATGAACGGGGATCACTGGAACTTGACTGATGGTAGGACCAACGGGGCTCCGGGCAAGTTGAGTCAGTCTTGAATTGGAGATGTTCTAAAACAGGGAAGACGGTCCATGGCTCAGTTAGGGCCTTCTTTCTCCAGGTCTGAAAGGGGTCCCTTCCAACCACTCCTGACCCTTGACGCCGTTGCGTCAAGATTCCAACTGGCCACACCACTTACAACTTTCATGGTTCTTTTATGTACAGTAATTAAATTGAAATATTTTGATCATAAAAAATCATAACAGTTGTAATTTGGTTACCTACTAATTATTTGCGGATATTTGAAATTGCTATAATTTGCGAACCATCTCATCACTCCTACTTCCAGTTGCATCATTCCAGTTTTGACATGATGCATTTCCTCGGAAATGATGGTCATTCCGAGGGACATCACCTCATTTTGGGCATGGTTCGCCACAAATCCCATCATTGGTGATTTCATGGCCAGAAGACAATGACTTCTCATGCAAAAATCCCCAGCTGGAACTGGATGGTTGAAGCGGGGTTCCAATTCAGGCGAACCGAGCCTCTTATGTGCCCTACTTCTACAGCAGAGATGGCTATGCAGCATTGGGACATAGCAATGTGACCCACTTCAACCGCATGGCCGCCAGGTGCGGTGCCGTAATTCCACTGATGGGGATGGGGTTCTGTCGTGTTTCTGATAACCAGTTGGCACAACTCGACAGTTCCCAAACTTGCCCATCACCGGCTTGGTGTTTTGCTCGCCATGGCAGGTATTTCTCAACCGGCCAGCAGCTGGCTTGGGCGTTTGAGGGCGCTTTCCAGTTGTACCTCATGCCTGCTGCCTCCCTTTCACGAGGTGCATCGGAGGAACCCCTTCCACTTGGCAAAACAAGTTATAAGCGAAGAAGACCCAAATGGCTAAAGCTTACTGGTGCGTTTTACGCAGGGAATTTTCGGGAATGATCCATTTCATCACTAGTAATAATCATCCCAGCAACCCCCAGCAACCCGTCCAGCAACCTACGTAAAACGCACCAGTAAGTAACAATGGTTAATAAATGGGTGATGAATAAATGGTTAACCACTAATAATGCTTGATGATGGTTAATCATGATGATTAGTGGCTAAATAAATGGTGAACAATGGTGGTTTAATGTGGTTTTCCTCAATCATTGTTAATAACGTGGCATCAATTAACCAATAAAGATCTTAATTAGCTGCACCAATAAAGATCAGTGATTCACCAAGGACTTCTTAACCACTAATAATGGTTGATGATGGTTAATAAACACCAATAAACCCAATATTCAGGACCCAGTTTTAAGGGCTCATGGAGGCGTCATGTCATTTCAGCCGACCTGACCAAACCGGATCCCGTTGGCCCCCCAAACCGGCTCCGAGGTACGAAAGCATATTACGCTCTGACGGGACGACCTGCACTGCCGCCCAGGCCTTGGGACCGGACCTTGGGGCCTTGGGGACGGCAAGGTCGCGTTCGGGGCTTCGGAGGTGTGCTGATTTTTTCGAGAAATTTTCGGGGCCAACTCGTGGAGCAATTTCCTAAAAAACCATGTGAGCTAGATGTGTGTATATCAATGTATATATATATATTAAAAAAACGGATCAACGAAAATCTATCAACATTTTTTTATTGTCAAGTTTCCTCCTCCTCATCATCATCATCATCAACATTGTCATACATTATCCTTCCACTCCCCCACACTGTTTGGGGTCTCTTGCCTGGATAATTATGATATAATCCTATAATAATAACTATAGTTATATCCTGATAATAGTTATGACAGATCCTATAAGAATTTTCATATCCTATACACATATGTTTAGTAATTTTTTTGATGTTCAACTTTGAAGATTCATTTTTCGAAGGTATAACCGGCGGTTCCGCCAGGCACATCCTGGGATTTATGGCCTGTCGATGGGGATGGAAAGATCAGAGGCAGGGATCCACCGGGGGAGATCCACCCCTAGTGGGTCATGGGGATTTTTACCTATGTAACAGAGGGGTAGGTATACCACCAACCAGTGTAATGTTAATAATCTTAATTGATGTTAATGGGATTTATGGTACATCATGTTCATTGATGTAAAAAATAAGGGTAAGTCATCCACTCTGGGCTATGTACAATGTATTTTATGCCATTTTCCATGTTTGTTTGCAATGCTATGTTTGTTGACTAGAATCTCAGGAATCAAGGACCCAAATAAAATAATCTATCACCTTTTTCTCCGCAAGTTGGGATGAGAAGTGGGAATGTGGTATTCTGATCCCATAGGGGTCCTCAAGATAGGTATGGGTTGGGTAAAGATTTATGGTATCCGGGGTTACAAGCTTTATGAGAAGACCTCGATGGCCAACATCATCAGAAAGGCAAGCTGTCACGAGTGTTAGATCTCAAATTCCGGCAGCCCTATTTCCCATAGGATCCATGGTGATTGATTCAGATTGATGGGATGGAATCCATGTTATCATATATAGCAGCACCGTTAGGATCCTATGGGTTTCGAAGAAGGGACTCACAGTCATTTTTTCATTTTTCCTGGAGTCTTCCAGCCACTGACTTCTTTCACAGGTTTCACAGGCTTCACAGGTGGGGGGCCAGGTATTTGGAAGAGACTTTGGAGCAGTTTCGGACCGGAGGCTTCCCCCTGGCCTCCTGGCTTTCTTGGATGTGGGATATCCGGTCAAGATCATCGGCCCATCGGCCATCATTTTCCGGAGTTCCCATCCTTTTTGGGCAGCCCTTGCACATCAATCACTATTGGCATACCATCTGGTAATTTAACATAGCTATTGAAAATGGTCATTTATAGTTGATTTTCCCATTAAAAATGGTGATTTTCCATAGCTATGTTAGTTTACCAGAGGGTATTGGGTGTCCCCTCACTTCTCCCTTGGTTCCCTTGGTTCCAACAGCTCAGGACTCGGTGATTTTGGATTTTGAGTGGTTTGCCAACACCTCGGACTACGGCTTCAGAGACTCCGGGGAGTCCTGGTATGAGGATTTTGGCTGGAACCCTCAGCTCTTTTCAGCGCCAACTCAGCAACTGAAGAAGTATTTGGAGGACCGAATAGTTGTGCCAATTTCTTGGTGAAATTCGTGAAATTCCAAGTTTTGGCTGTAAGGTCGGGCTGAGCTAGATGGGTGGAGCACTTTTTTTTTGTTTTGACTAGATTCATCTCTTGAGTTCGACAGGATGTGGGGCGAGATTTGAAGCCTCAAAAAAACCAGAGCCAGCGACGACTGACCCATTTTTTTTTTGTCCACAATTTTTCGCAGATTGAAATCCCCCAACCTTGTTTTGAAGGTTTTTTTCAATAAGAAATGTTGGTGACTTCCTATGTTTGTTTCTGAATCCCCCAAGTTTTTTTGGGGCGTTTGCTGCTCATCATGCAGGAGCAGCAGGTGCATGTGGCGGGGATCCGAAAGCCACGGCTGGGGAACCGGAAGCTGTTGAACTTGGCGAAAGAGAAAGGATGGCTATCTCTGAAAGCTTCCGGCCGAGGCGATCCTGACAGACGTCTGGTGAGTCTGGTGCTTCAAAATCCAGCTGGAAGACTCGTAGATTGGGAGGACTAATGTACTATTAGTATCTAGTATCATCTAGTATCTAATAGTAGGTGCGAGAAAACGGGATTCAATTCATACACTTTACACCTGATGCTCAGTCTGGTTCCCCAAAGTGGCCAACCCTGCCCCCAAATGAACTCACCAACAGTCTGGGTTTGTTATGGCTCCACCATCTCCAGGTGGTCCCGAAAACTACGCTGATGGACGCTGGCTGCGCTTTTCGGATCCCCAGCTGCGGCGCTGGTATGCACAGCAGATGCGGCGCCATGGCCGGTGAAAGATGCAGATTTAGAGCCCAAAAACATGTTTTTTTTTTTTAATTTTGCTGGATCTGGAATATGTTCCCAGTAAAATGGGCATATATGGACATATCATGAAATATTGAGTTTGCATTTTACTTGATATTTCATGACAATATGCTCATGTTTTTCGATGTTTCCTAATTTTCCGGGAGTTAAAAACAACACTCTTGGGGGTTGGAATTGAGAGACCTTCAGCAATGGAGGTATTTTCACCTAAACACTTGACACACCTTGCATATCAGACTTTTGTGAACATAAATTGACATCGAGACCTATCGAGATTCTTCTTGAATTTTTGAGATCTCACTGAACAGATGCATATTATTGATAGCTCAGGGACTAGGTCACTAGGTGTTGTCAGCACTTGGTATTTTTTTGGAGCATTGATTTACTTCTGAGGCACTATCTCGACAGCGGCATCTCATACTGGTGGAACGATGCCGCTGGGTCGAGATGTCTATGGGAGATCTTCAGGATCCAACAGATGGAGGTACGTAAGTACCATAAGTAGGCCATATTTTGTGAGGATATTCCCCTACATAGTCCTCATATAGGCCTTATACTATCTTATACTTATATGCTAGATAGCTCTAATTTAGGTCCCGGAAGTGGCAATTGAAAGTGCATAGGCAACAGACAGCTATGTACCTTCTAATCAAGCATTGTTGGCTGGGAAATCTTCATTTTGAATGGTTCTTTGTGTGGTCTGTAGATGTAAATAAATGGGGATGTGCTAGTGGCCAGTTTTGATTTCTGGAGAGTACATGTTGGTGTGGGTCAAACTTGGAGCCTGCAAAATTCTCTAAAATGAGTATATAGATTTTTTTGGGGTACTTCTCCAAGGCGAGCTCCCTTTCCGTCATGAAATCATGCAGCTAAGGAGGGTGAAAACTTCTACTACACCTATCATGACTGGAACCTTGCAGAGCTGGAACTACACCAGAGCCACCAGGTTTGGGACGTCATTGGAGTGGGTTTTTGAAAGGAGCTTGATGAAGAAATAGACCTGAAGATACTTTGGAAATTGGAGGATCGGACGCTGATTTGCTTGGTTTCTTCAAATTGCAATTTTTGCTGGAAAGATACGGCAAGATCCCCCATTTTTGATGGTTGAATCATTGTGTTTGCCAGTTCAATTCACCATTTTGGATGGTTTAATTTCATATTTCATTGTCCTTATTCTACAACCATGAAATACCACAGACATCCCTCCATTTTTCCGGGTAAAATCTCCATTTTTCTCCACGGTTCAGGGCCGCGCCACGTCGCGATTCTTCTCGCTGAACCGTGCCTTCACACCGGGCATGGCGCGGCTGGGCGCTGCAGTGTGGACGGGTGATGTGAGCGCGAGCTGGGAGGCGGGGAGCTAATGGATCCAACGGGATTTTTTTTAGGGATTTACCCTCTGGTAATTTAACATAGCTATGGAAAATCACCATTTTTAATGGGAAAATCCACTATAACTGGCCATTTTCAATAGCTATTTTGACATAACCAGAGGGTAATCAGGATTGATATGGATATGGACTTTTATGGATCTAACATGATCTAACATCTGGATTGAACATTGCAAAATTCTAAGGATTTTTAGATATTTAAGCATTCAAACATATGGATTCAACAATCCAAAGTAGTCATTTAAGATGATTTAAGCATCCAAGACAAGGATTTAAGGTACTAAAGCACCAAAATAAAGATTTAAACGTCGAAAACAGGGATTTAACCATCCAAAATAATGATTTATGGTATTATATGGCCATTAAATACGGTATTAAAGCACCAACGCCAAGATCTAAGCATCCCAAATAGGGATTTCATCGCTGAACATGGGGATTTCATGACGAAATATGATGATCACTGATCAAATGTAGACCTTTGACCTTATGGGAGGCGACCCAGAGATGTTGGTTGAAGCCTGAGTTTCATGGACACAGACAATACACAGAAAAACATCCTAGTCTGTTAGTGCAATCCCGAGTTCTTGTGGATCGAATCCCTGTATCATTGCTTGAAATTCCTATCGTTGTTGAATCATTGGATCGAACCCCAACTCTTGGATCAATGAATCATCTGAGTTCGTTTTCAAAAAACATGGGTTTTTCACGGCGAAAAACGACTCTCCTGACATTTTGCTGCTGAAAAGTCGAGCCACTTTCGAGAAAAAAACCATCTGCAGACATGGACAAATTCGGCAGGACCTGAGAAGGACCCCGGGCATGATGTTAAACTGGGCACTGGCCGGAGCGCCCTATGTGGCTTGCGACATTGGAGGCGCGGCCGCGCGGATCACCGCAGCCGGTGTCAGATTTTGACGGTAGGTGGTGCCCCATACTTGGCGAACTTGGCGAAAAAAAACGGGTGAAGTATACAGAATATATATATATATCATATATCTATTCTGTACTCTATACTGAATGGAGTGTATGAACCAACGTATAACTGGAAGGGGGGCAGCACCTTGCAATGATCCACTTCTTGGAAGGACTAGCAATACACTCTGGAGTTGATACACCGAAAACTGAGGTTTTATTGGCAACGCCTCGTCCCAGTTGCTGGCCCGATGGTACCAGGCCAGGAATGGGCCACAGAGAAACAAAAAATTGGGTAGGTGGTGATGATGATGATGATGATGAAGGAGTACCCTAGTCGTTGAACAAACTTACAGTAGACAGGATCCACCAATGATCACTAGCAGCCATCGACCGGGGACACTGCATGATTTCAGCATCCAAAGGGGGTGGAGAACTTCAGGATGTTGATGGTATGTATTCTTCACTGATTCCCAAGGTTTTCCATTCGTTGGAACAAGTTCAACACCGTGTTGCACTTAAGTTGCCCTTCGGCTAAGTTCGGCTAAGTTCGGCGAAGTTCGGCTAGCCAGTTTGCTCCCGGTCACTCCGTGACCAAACTGGCACGATCCCTCACATCGGCTCGAGTACAACCAGCTGCCGAAACCTGCCACACCGCGAAGCCATGCAGCTGGTGTTGTTCGTTGGGTTGGCCTTGACCGTCCACTTCCTTCGTAAGGTCTCCCAGGTTGAGGCGCCGCAATCCGGGCATCAGGGCCGCACCAAGGGAACGAAATGGGAAGAACCAGGGTTTCCTGGACGAAGGGATGGTTTTTTTTGTACAGAAAAAAAATTGGAGGTACACAATTGATTCACGTGCTTTCTCTCTTCATCAACTTTTGCGGAATTTCAGCACCAACATGATTTCACAAAGGACTTTGGGGCATATATCTTGCAAACTACTCTTTCATGTTTTGGCTGTACCGTTCAAGACAATTCAAGACCATTTTTTGCTGGCCGGGGGAAAACCGGACAATACTTTTCTTTGATTTGGTGGGGTAGGGTGGGGTGGGTGGTGGGGGGTGGCGGGGAGGGGTGGGCTATCAACGCTCATGTTCACATGCACACTATACTGACGCTACGTTGCTGAGACCTTGCTGGCACTTGCATACAACAGGGTGGGTGGAGTGGGGAGTGGGGGGGTGGGGTGGGCTATTAATATTCATGCTCACAGCTCACATGCACACTATCTTGATGCTAACAAGATCTTCTCTTGCACTAACTATCTTGATATCTTGACGCTACGTTAACAGGATTGTTTTTTTTGGCACTTGCTAACTATCTTGATGCTACGTTAACAGGATTGTTTTTTTTGCACTTGTTAAAGATCTTGATGCTACGTTAACAGGATTGTTTTTTTTGCACTTGTTAACTATCTTGATGCTACGTTAACAGGATTGTTTTTTTTTGCGCTTGTTATATAACCATCTTGATGCTGCGTTAACGAGATCTTCTCTTGCACTTGTTAAGTATCTCGATGCTGCGTTAACGAGATCTTCTCTGGCACCTGCTGATAAGGGCGCACACAGGTGGAATCGATTGCACATGGAAGAAAATCAAAGATAAGATTCCACCCAGCATTCATGCTGATTCATGCTAGAAAGAATGGCAAGACCAACAAAGATTTGATGGCCTATCTGCGGCAGTGGCAGTGGCGCTCAAGGCACAGCAGAGACTGCGTGCTGAGAGCGACTGCCAGGCAAGTGCAAAAACAAGACAACATGTGAGGGTAAAAAGTGAAGTTGACCGACAAAGGGTTCCAAAACTGTAGCAAAACGCGTTTTTCCAAAAAACACATAATATATAATGATTTTGAACAGTTTTTCAGCCTTTCAAAAGGTGACAAACGCAAGGGACTGTGGCTTTCAAGGGTGAAAATACCGTCCTGTAAACCCCCCGCGCGGAATTTGTTGGATGGTTCGGAGTCCGGCTACTACGGGTGGAATCACATTTTTTCTGTAAAACCGTTTATGGTATAGTTTTCTCTCCCTTTTTCATCTTGTTTATTTTTTTATGTATCCCCTTGATATCCCTAGTACTATTGCCATCCCAATAAAATTTTACTGTCATGGTCTGTTTCATCCCCACTGCACCCATTGCAGCCTGATTTTTTGATATTTTTTGGGTGCTTGAATTGAAATGCTGCAAAAAAGAGTTGAGGTAAAGTTGCGAGAGCCTCACCATCGCTCTTCGGAGATATCAGTCGTGAGCTGGCTCAATCATGAGCCGTTCCACTGAGGCCTGTTTTGGCACAAGCACAATGACACCTTCCCCCTTCTGAACCTACAATGTGGTGCCCTATAGTTAGCTAAGTTGGTTTATAACTTCAATAACTATGGTTTATGGTAGATATATCGAACTAGTTAATGGGCTTTATAAACCAACTAACATCACTGGGGGGCACAACCTTTTTTTCTTCAGACCCATTTCTGAACATCGAAAAAAACAGAGCCGAGGTACTGCTGAACCCACCTGGCTTTCTTGGTTTGTTTCTCTTTGTTCATGAGGGGGAAGGGATTTTCATGAACAGCTGATATGGGTTTGTCTGAAAATAGTGTATCTCATATTCCAATGGATTATCACCATGTTCCCCATTAAAATTGCTATTTGTGGGTATCCCCTATTTTCAGACAACAGCTGATATGACGTAGCAAGCTACGTAGCTTGACATATAGTGGAGATAATGGCCTCAGCCAGCACTCTCCACCCGTTGCTAGCCGTGTAGTTTTTGGAGATCGCTCCAATGCACAGCGCTTAAATTCACCAATGGTGATGAAGTGGATGTAACTGCCTATCGGCTGACAATTCTATCTCTAACATTTATTGTCTATCTCTTGTAGCATTCACTTTTCCGTCATATTATATACCCTCTGGTAAACTAACATAGCTATGGAAAATCACTATGTTTAATGGGTAAATCCACTATTTCTATGGTGATTTTCAATAGCTATGTTAGTTTACCAGAGGGTACAATATATTATCATGGCCTTCATATTTCGACCACCACTAAACGCGCTGTTTTCTCCGGTGAAATCCTCCCACGCTTTGCCCCGACGCAGCGCACGGTGTCATGCTGTACAGTAGGCCGCTGCGCTGCTGGCACGTGAGAGCCGGGTAGCCGGGCAGCGGTCAGAGTTTTGTTCCCAGAGAGCTGCAGCTTGGAAAGATTTAGACGTGAACATCAAAATAGCTGGTAAATGGATGTTCATCCCACTAAAAATGTATCTATAGGTATTGAACCATACCCAGTTGAGGTAAGTTGCGGCTGTCGCCTCACCATCTACGAAGCCTTCGGAGATTTTCTCGTCGTGAGCTGGCTCAATCTTCTGGCCGTGCCACTGAGGCCAGGAGATGCCAGGAGGCACAAAAAAACACCTTCCCCCGTTAGAGAACCTACAATGTGGTGCCCCAGTTCGTTAGCTAAGTTGGTGCCAATAACTTCAATAACTATGGTTTATGGTAGATATATCGAACTAGTTAATGGGGTTTATATATAAACCAACTAACATCACTGGGGGGCACAACCGACTGAACATCGGACCCATTTCTGAACATCGAAAAAAACAGAGCCGAGGTACTGCCGAACTCACCTGGCTTTCTTGGTTTGTTTCTCTTTGTTCATGAGGGGGAAGGGATTCTTCAAAGTGCTTGAACAGCTGATATGACGTAGCTTGACGTAGCTTGACATAATGGAGATGATGGCCTCAGCCAGCACTCTCCACCCGTTGCTAGCCGTGTAGTTTTTGGAGATCGCTCCAATGCACAGCGCAAGTTCACCAATGGTGATGCAGTGGATGTAACTGCCTATCGGCTGACAATTCTATCTCTAACATTTATTGTCTATCTCTTGTAGCATTCACTTTTCCGTCATATTATATACCCTCTGGTAAACTAACATAGCTATGGAAAATCACTATGTTTAATGGGTAAATCCACTATTTCTATGGTGATTTTCAATAGCTATGTTAGTTTACCAGAGGGTACAATATATTATCATGGCCTTCATATTTCGACCACCACTAAACGCGCTGTTTTCTCCGGTGAAATCCTCCCACGCTTTGCCCCGACGCAGCGCACGGTGTCATGCTGTACAGTAGGCCGCTGCGCTGCTGGCACGTGAGAGCCGGGTAGCCGGGTATTCATTTTTGACCATCATTCTGGGTTGTGAATGAACGAGAAAATGGATGCAACTTGATATCATGGACTTGCTCTCAAGTAACATCCGTCCCTCCAAAATAGTGATGTCATCACAAAATCGCACCCCTTACCAATGACCAACAGCTTAGCGGTGAATAAACATGAAAATCTGGATTGAGATGAACATAGATTAGACATTTAGAACCCCCCATGCCTTGGGATACATCTCCAAGAAATATGGCAATATAGCAACTTTTTTAAAAAAGTGTTACCCTCTGGTAATGACTAACATAGCTATTGAAAATGGCCCATAGAAATGGTTGATTTACCGAACTTAAAGATGGTGATTTTCCATAGCTATGCAAACGTTTATCAGAGGGTATATCTGTATTAATCAAGGCATGGCAGTGGCTCACATGGCAGCAGGTTGGAAGCTTCATGCCCTTGATGAGGATCCACTCCACCCACGACGATCAGCCCCATTGGCCCTGGCTCTACGAGGATCGAGAGATCATGTTGCCAGTCTCAATGCAGAATTTGGGGCCGCAACCATAGTTGGGATATTAATGGTTATTAATGGTTAATGTTGGTTAATGATGATTAATAGTGCTTATGAATGGTTAATGATGATTATTCTGGGTGAATTTCATCACGACCTCACTGCGACCGAACCCTGGAATCATGGTTTTTATATGGGAAATCATCCCCTTTTATGGCCGAACTTTTCAGGTTAGTGAAATATTATAATTTACCCAGACTGATGTATTTTGGATGATGTTTGGATGATTTTTCTGGCCGCGATGGTGCATTCTTTTGCACGCTACCGTCTATGTACTTTGATGATCTTTGATGTTCATCCTCTTTTTTTATTGGCCGAAGCAGTTGTACACTACTCACCTAGCCCTTGAATATCCAACTGAATATTTGACCCTCAGTTTTTTTGGTTTTCTTCTTTCAACTTGATATCGTTCCGCCATGGATTCCATGGATCAAAGGGCCGATTCCGATGCTCCAGAAGTCCGGGTGGATCAGCCCCAATATCCCCGATGCTTTCCGGCACCATCCGGCACCATGTTGCTTCCAAAATACCTGGAAAGCCGAATGTGCCCATTGTTTTAAGGACACTTTCCAGGCTGTGCCCAGTGTTTTTTGGTCACTGATTGGTGTGTACCATTTTAGGAATATGATTTTAGGGGTATTTATGGCACTTTACAGATATTTACAGCACTTTTACGGTCATTTTTGAAGATGAAGTGCCTTTTTTTGTGTGAGAATTGCAAAGTGCCACAACCATGGGCTACTAGGGCAAGTAGCCTGAAACAATAGGCAACTATGGCTTTCCAGGATTTTCGAGGACTAGATTTCTGATGACTTCTGACTAGATGATGTTGTGTATTTTCGACCCGCTCTCGAAGTTCCACACACTTTATTCTTGCTTGGATTTTGTGCATTTTATCACCACGACGATGAAGACCGTGCCCATCCTGAGGCGGCAAGCTTTGGTCCGGCGTTACAGATTCCTGGCGGGGCAGTGCTCGGGGATGGCGTTGTCTCAGTCTGCTTGTGGATAAGTACTAGACAGATCGATACGTAAAGTATCATACTTGAGTCCGAGTGCAAGATGATGTTGATGATGATGTTGTTGTTGTGGTGGTGGCGGCGGTCGTCGTCGTCGTCGTCGTCGTCGCCGTACTAGTATTACTATCCTTGTTCTTTCATTTTCTTTCTATTATTTCTATGATTTTTATTATCATGATTCATGATTCTCATCATGATGATCATCATCATCAACAACAACAAGGGGTCATGCGGTTGGAGGTGATGTGATTCCTGATGTGAATCAAGTGGCTCAAGCCAGGCCCGAAACTCCCGAAACTCCCCATAATTTCCATATACCCTCTGGTAAACTAACATAACTATGGAAAATCACCATTTTTAATGGGAAAACTCACTATAAATGGTCATTTTCAGTAGCTATGTTAAATTACCAGAGGGTAATTTCCATTCCATAGTGGGCCCAGCTTAAGGACGATTCGAACCTCGTGATTTGTTCGAAATGTCGATGCAACGAGGATTACTCCCCTACCACTATTCCTTAGCGCATCGAGTCTCGGCTTCAGAGAATCTGTGGCTGTCAACGCTTCCAGGTCGGGTCACGAATCATGTATAAAATGAGAGATAGTGAGAGGATCTCCAAAAAAGCTTTGCAAGATGGATTTAACATAGGAAACACACATGACACATGCCTGTTTCCCCATGTTTTTTTTTTCGTGCGAAGTGAGTATCTGGCGGCCGGCAGCTTCCCAACATCCATCATTGCGACCTCACTGGAATGATGGTAAGGATTGGTAAGGGTAAATATCCCAAAATAAACATATTTCAGATTACTGAAGTATTATGAAATATGACGATTTACCCAGATGTATTGTATCTCCCATAGTGACCACATTGGCGAATCCCAGGTTTGTCCACGGAGGGCGATCTCTTCATTCGCCCCCTGGCCATGGACTTTCCAGAGGATCCGAAGGCCGCCCCAAAAACGGGTGGAATCATCATCCCAGAACTAGCCATGGAGGTTTATAGCTGGGAAAATCATCTATAAATGGGTGATTTCCTATGTTGCTATGTTTGAATACCGGAGGCTACATGCCTTCTGGTGGAAACACTTCGAAATTTGCCATGATGAACTTTTTAATTTAAATCACTTTCTGGTGAATAGTGCTTCACGGCGAAAGGCTGATGTTTCCTGCAAGATGTGAAACAGGTGGAAAACATGACGAGCCAATGGATGGACGGACAGATTTTGGTGTCGGAGATCTCAGACATCACTTCAGGGCCGGGCTGAGGGCTGGTCGTGAGTCGATGTGGGTCGTGTTTTTCTGGAAGTGGAACTTGGTTGCGCATCCAAGGAATTGCAAGTGGTTCAAAATCATGATTATAGATATTATAACCCAGGTATACATTGTGTATACGATAAACCTCATGTATCTCATGTACCCAGATGAATTTTTAATGGATGCCCTGTATCCAGATCCTATGAATTTCTAGGGGGATGATGGGGATGCACATCCAAGAAGGGTCTTCCAATTTGGACTTCAAGGCGCAATGCGAAAAAAACCGTGACTCGCTGGCCATGTATTTTTTCATCCGATCTTGGGAGAAATGAATGGTGATCCATATCCAAATGGCCTTCCCGTTCTCAAACATGGCAATGGTAGTTTTCACCAAAGCATGCTTTTCCCATTCACATGCCCTTTTTTTTTTTCTTTTAACCCTCTGGTAAACCAACATAACTATGTTTCATTGCCACCACAGGGTGCCCTTGGGGAAACTGCCAAGGTCGCCGGTGCTGTCCAAGGATTCTCGCGCAGAAATCTACCTGCCCAAAGGCGGACACGTTGGTCAGCGAAGCATCCTGTAACATTCTGGGAGCAGTTGGAGTTTACCCTCTGGTAATGTCAAAATAGCTATTGAAAATGACCATAGAAATAGTGGATTTTCCCATGAAAAATGGTGATTCTCCATAGTTATGTAAACGTTTACCAGAGGGTATTTGTCTTTTGTTCAAAACATTGGGGATTTTTCAGGAGAAACATGTCTAACCTGGAAATTTAATATCAGGTTGAATTCTTGGCTGCTCCGAAGTACAGCTTCAGACAAGGCCCAGTTCCAGGGGATTCCAGGCCGAAGTGGGGGAAAATCCGCAAGGTCGCTGGCATCCCTTCGACATGGAAGGGGAAGTGATCCAGGGGCCTCACTATGAGTCCATGGAGGCGGCATGCAGGGTCGGTCCCATCTCGATCCCAACAGCTGGTGACTGATGGTTTTTGATGTTGAACATGGATTTTTCAGGGGGATTTCCATGGGGGTACCCCCAGTTCGCATCCATTTTAGATCCGATTTTCCCTCAAATAAACCATCCAGCGATAAAGGGGTACCCCCGGTACCCCACTATGGAAACCTCCATGACTGGATCCGTATGCTGGTTGGTGGTTTGGAACATGAATTTTATTGTTCCATGTATTGGGAATGTCATCATCCCAACTGAGGAACTCCATCATTTTTCAGAGGGGTAGATATACCACCAACCAGTGTAATGTTAATTGATGTTAATGGGGTTTATGGTACATCATGTTCATTGATGTAAAAAATAAGGGTAAGTCATCCACTCTGGGCTATGTACTTTTTGTATTTTATGCCATTTTCCATGTTTGTTTGCAGTTTGCTATGTTTGTTGACCAGAATCTCAGGAATCACCAAGACCCAGATGAAATAATCTTGGTGATCTGATCCGATAGGGCTCCTCAAGATATCTCCTGATAGGTACCCTCTGGTAAACGTTTACATAACTATGGAGAATCACCATGTTTAATGGGAAAATCCATGAACATCCGCTATTTCTATGGTCATTTTCAATAGCTATGTAACAAATTACCAGAGGGTATATCCCATTAATATCCCATTAATATCCCATTAATATCCCATTAATATCCCATTAATATCCCATTATATAAATCACTATAATATCCCATTAAATCCTATGTTAGTCATTACCAGAGGGTATGGGATTTGGTGATGAATTTCCTCCTCAAAACGCAGGTGAAGCTCGAGGATGTGCCAGCCTTTGTCGCCGTGGGCACTGTGCCGTGGCGCGGGGCGCGATTTTAAGCGGGGTAGAAATGGGGAGATTTAACGAACGAAAATGGGCAAGCAATCAGAATGGGGATAAACACATAAATAAATAGATAAATATATATATAATAAAGGTTTTGGATCGCAGTGAAGGGTGCCCCTCGAACTCGGTCCATCAACCTTAGAGGGATTCACCCTCGGGCAATCGGCTTCGCATTGCCTTGCTGTGGCGCTTCGGACCTCTGAACTGGTTTCGCCCTGGAGGATCCTTTGTGCTGTGCTCTGCTGACCTGGCCAGTCAGCATCACCTTTCTGTTCTGTGGTCCGGGCCACGTACAAATCCCGGTTGGCCTCTGCGATCTCATCTAATTGGCCTTTGACCCAGTTTTGGTGTATGTTCCCGGCCATTTGGATCTTCCTTCTCTTGCTTTCGATTCGGGATAAGGTGGATCAGCAGGTGAACCTCTCCTTGAACCTTTCTTCGGAGCAGGACGGCGTCCTCATCTTTGCGGCGCACGGAACGGCGGCAGCGAGCACGTGCAAGGCTTCATTGGTTTCTACATCGCACAGGTGTACATCCTCTGAGTTCTTCACAACTGCTTCGTCTACACGCTGTCCTTCGTCGACATCATTCCCGAGACCCTCTGTTTCTACGTCGCATCCTTGCAGCTTACAGAGACAAAATGGCTCAGAAGCAACCATCTTGGAGGTGCTCAAGGTGCCACGTGATCATGAAAGGGTCCTTTCCAAGATGTTGGAAGTGTGGACAAGAATGGCAAGCCTGTCAGGATCCTTCCTTTGTACCGCCGGAGCACAGGAATCAGCAGCAGTCCTACAATCAGGCAGCTGGTCATCCGCCTCCTTGGAATGGTGCAACCTGGCAGGACTCAGGCAGCCGCAGTCCGCGAACGAGATCAAGGCGCAAGAAACAGGGCAAGAACAAGGCGGGAGACAACTGGCATGGGGAAGCTCACCATCAGAAGGGCTACGGCAAAGGCTTCGATGCAGGAGCTCCGTCACAAGGGCCAATGATACCCATGCCTCAGATGATGCCCATGATGATGCCTTACCCACAACACCAGATCATGGCTCCTCCCTATCAGTCCATGCAGCCAGACAAAGGAAGTGGCAAAGGACAACCTCTACCACCACCCTTGACTATGCCTTCTCCACCTTCGACAGCTGTGACAGGTCCTCCAGGACAATGGGCGCCTACGATGCAGATGATGCCTGTTCCGGCAGTTCCCATTGGGCCTGGACAGACCGAAACACCCACCGAGGAGGTCAAGAAGGAGGGAAGAGCCCAGGCGAACCTCAATCGCCTGTTGAAGCAGATGAAGAAGGACGAAGATTCCCTCACCTCCGATCTTCAAAAAATGGCTCATACCATGCAAAAGCAGGACGAACGCGACAACACCAAGGAGTTGAGTGTCGCAGTGAAAATCCTGGGACAAGCCAAGGAGGATCTACTGGAAGCAGAAAATGCCAAAGCTCAGCTTCTCTCCCAGTGGAAAACCTTCCTACAACAATCGGTGGTCAAGTGGAGAGAATTTTCTGCTCAATTTCAAGCCTCGGAGTCGGCGCATCAGAACAGCATTCAAACCGCAAAGCTGAATGTCAAGAGGGCACAGAGGCGCTTCGACCAGGCTTCCAAACGCGAGCAGGCCCAACCTGGGGACGCCATCCAGGTCTCCGACGAGGAGGAAGATGTCGACCTCCAAGAAGATCCTGGAGATGGATCCTTAGACCAGCAGGATCAAGGTGCGCAGAGAATACACGATGGCATGAACATGATCGTCAAGAGCTTGGTGGAGCTCTCAGCCTCCGCAGATCTGCTGGAGCAGAGGGTCAAACGGCCACGCACCGAAAAGGAAGACACCATGGTCGATGGTGGTGCAGGTGGCTCTGGTGGTGCCTCTTTTCGTTAGGCCGGTACGACATGACTGCATTGTATGCGTACCAGTGGCCGCTGCCACCCATGGGGCCTGCAGCGCAGCTCGATCCCTTTGCTGCAACCTTGCACTGGTCCCATTCGATCCTTTCTGAGAGAAACTTCCTATCAGAATGGCGGGCAATTGAGCTGGCATCTGAGGTAGCGACTGATTTGGGTTCTTCAGCCGAACTACGTACAGATGTCTTTGCTTTACCCCTGCGCAGAAAGACTTCTCCTTTCAAGGTTTCTTTCCAGCCTACAGTTCAGGTGCTCATGGGATTGGATGATGACATTGAGTTCCATGCTGTCGGAGTTCACCATGAGGCACTTTTTGCATGGCCGGACAAACCTTGGCGCCTTCGATGTCCTGATGATGAGGGAGATCTGACCTCATTTATGGCCAGACGTCCTGGGCCTCGACGAGCAAGCCCAACGGACTCAGTTGCTCCTTCATCCATGACATCCAGTTCCTCTTTGAGTTTGCCCTCATCTTCACCCAGAGTTTTGTGGCAACGAACAGTTTTGATTCTTTTGGATGGACGCATGGTTCCAGCTCGTCTTTCCAATGATGCCAGCGATACTGTTATGCATCAAATTGCGCAAGCCTTGGGAATTGTCCCAGACGAAGTTCTGGACTTCCACACTGTGCAAGCGCGCCCGGAGGACCTTGTGTCCCAGAATCTTCAACGCATTCTACCTCAAATTCATGAAGAACGGCGGCCTTCACCATTCCTCCGCATCGTGTTGGTTGACCTCGAGATTTATGAACCCAATGAGATCCTGCCTGGAGCCTTCAGACGCTATTCCCGATGGCTTCCCAGAACGATCAACAGGCGTTCTGTTTTTCGAATGTTGGATCTGGAATCCCTCCTGGATGCACATGGTGAACGTTGCAAACTGTGGTTCAACAACAATCTCATTGCGGAGGACTTCATTGAACCACTACACCTTGAAGATGGGGATTTTGTGCGCATCCTCATTGGTGAGCATGATTCAGATTTTCAGTGCGATGAAACCACGGAAGACTCCGCAGACTTCATGGTCGGCCTTCAGCTTGAAACCTTGGCGACAAGTGCTGATTCTCTGTTGGTTCTTCCTGCAGATGCTGATCCGCTGCTATTTTCGAAGCTTTGTCCTACGGGAGGCCATCGACATCCTTGCATCCCTGTCTCCATGAGCGTTGATGAGGACGCAGACCCACCTGCTGGACATCCTCAAGGCCATGTTGATCCGTTGCAAGGTGCCTATGACCGTCCTCCTGGCATCGACCAACCGGTGTGGGTTCATGAAGTCTGGGACCTACTTGTTGCACATGGAGCCGTTGAGCTTGCAGAAGAGGGCCCCATCATATACCTGAGGTCGCACTACATTTCGCATCAACACCACACGGCCAACAGAGCCTCCAGGCCATTACGGTTCGATACTGATTTTGAGACCTGGGAAGCAGACGTTCGCTTCATGTGGGAAGATTTGGTTGATGTTAGTGCCTTGGACTTGGTCTTCATTGCCCCGGAGCCACTCTCCAGTCCCACAGCTGGCACCTGCGGAACGGTTTTGGTGACTCAACACCCTACACCTGGTCAGGCTGCATGTCTGGTGACACATCCAGGGCTTGGCGATCATTTTGCGCACCATGAGATTGCTCTCTCCCTGGCTACACCATGTTCATGGGAGCACCTGCTACATTCTGCAGGTTTGGCCTCCTTCTGCGCCCAACAAGAACGACGACAATTTGTGGTCTGTGAACTCTTGGTTGGTAGCATTGTGCATGAACGAGATCAACCTCTTCGCACTCATGATGGCCTTGGACTACGAGTACGACTTCGGAATCTTCAAGCGTCCGAGCTTGTGCACTCAATCAGCCAACTCCGTGCTGCTGAAGATGACGATGAACTACAACTATGGACACATCATTGGAGCATTCATTCGCCTGGAGTCAAGAAGAGCCACCTACAGTCGCAGACTCATGACCTGCAAGATTGTTTGATCAGGTCTTCGAGGATCCTTGACGAGGAGGAGGCCCCACTCATCCTGACACCATTGGCCATTCCTGGAGAAGCTCCAATTGAAGAACCTACGCCTGATCGTTTTCCTGCTGATCATGAAGACATCATTGCCTCATGGAGAAGAGCTGCAGACACACGGACTGCCACGGAAACTCAGGAGGGTGAGCTGACTGTCAAGTTTGTAACATGGTTCTTGAATGGCGATCGCTGGTCGAGATGTGATGCCTACAGAGTCATTGCGCTGCCATCTGACACAGATCGTTGGGATGCATTATTTCGTCAACAATGGCGGGATCGTTTAGACCATGATGCACCTTTATACGTCTCTTTGGTCTATCCCTCCGTTACGCCTGACCACCATGGAGGACATCTCATTTTGCATCAAAACCTTGGACCAACTGTACGAGGCGTTCTGCTCAGCGTCTTCTGGCACGGTCAAGACAGTGAACTTGGTAACCGCTTTGCTCAGGTTGTTCCTCACTGGCTCTCTTTTCAACGATTTCTACAGTTTGCTGATCTACTTGAGGCATGTAGACGACGCCTACTTCTGTGTGTTGGCTTCTCTGGGAATCAGCCGATTGAAGAGGATCGTCCACTTTTTCCTCGGCATGGCACACATGTTGAAGTTCACGTTGCTGAATGGCACGTTGCGGATGAAACCAGCCTCATGCAACACCCAGGAGCACTTCACCCTGATCAGCCCACCGCACAACCAACTCCTGATGCAGGTGCTGCATGTAATGCATCTCTCCTGAATGCAGAAGCTCCCATTTTCGTGCCTGGCCTACCTTGGTCCATTGGCTCTATGTCGGAGTTCACGCAAGATCTCCATGCGTTATGGGAGGGTGCGGCCTTTTCCTGGGAGGATGAAGCTCCCTCGGGCCCGATCTCGGTATGGTTCGTTGACCATCAATGGCATGCTCCTCATGGACGCGTTGCACGCCTGGTCCAGCTCTATGATGACTTTCAGAATTGGGAGGAGCGCATCAGAAGGGCATGGGCTGACCACATTATTGAGGGTGCTGTTGTTGAATTGCACTTGGTAAGCCCTCATCCACCGGGCCACAACGACGCCATCATTGCACATGTGGTTCTCGTTCAACGCCCCAATGAAGCCTGGGTCACGAGCATTGTGTCTTGTGTGGATCGACGACGACCACAGCAGGTCACTCAACAGCTTGCAATCACGACCCATGAGCACATCCTCATTGATAATCTCTTGCGGGTCCTTGGCATATATGAGGCTTGCAGTGGACCACGAGCACAACTTCAATGTCATGGATGGTATCGTTCTGAGCAGTTATGGCCAGGCCGACCTATCCCTGGGAGATCAGGTTACAGCATTGTGATCCTTACACGACAAGCTCCTCAACCGAGACCCACTGAGACAGCTGGCAACAGATCGACACGAGCTCCTGTCCTTCTGCAACTGTCTAGCCTGATACATAGCCAGACTGAGAGTGCTGAAGATGACCAGGCAATTACACAACTTGCCACTGTTGCTCTGCAGCTACGGTCGGGTTGTCAAACCCTTCTTGTACCAGAATACATTGAATGCTCTGCACCTGGAGAGTCTAGTGACATCGAGATTGAGCTCAAGCAATGGGGCCTTTCCTGCAGCGCATTTCGCTTTGGATCTTACAGCATTGCCCTCTGCCTTCCTGCGCATTGGTCTGTCCAGGAAGGGCAATTTCATTATATGTTTTGCCACGAGGACCTGAAGGACCCCAATGGCGCTTTCCTTCACACCTCTGACAGACCCTTGGATGAGCTTGGTCTCATGCAGCTGCTTCACAAGTTTGGATACTGTCGGGCGGCCGTCTTGAAGGTCGAGGACCTGATGATCGGGCTCCAAAGAATCACCTTCCTTGATGTTGTTCAACAGCACGGAGAAGCGATTGATCGCTGCAAGCGGCCTTTGCCATGGCCGAGTTTGCCTGACCTTGAGCGAAACAACGTTCCCCTCCTGGACCTCTGCAGACCTCGTGAAGGATGTGATGATTTCCTTATCAAGATTGGCATTTCTCTGACTGACCTGGTTGCTTTCTTTGAGTCGGGCACTGATGTCCTTTGCAGGGATCCCACAGGCTATGACCTACCGGACACCACGACACAGGCCATGAACCTCAGTGAGACCAGTGATCTGGCACAATTTGATCGAGTTATCATCTACACTGATGGCTCGTCCTTGCCTCACCATCGTCACAGACCTGCGCTCTGGAATGATGAGGCTGGCTTTGCGGATACCTGGGCCTTTGTTGTGCTAGGAGAGCGACGTCAAGGACAGCATCTGGTTGTTGAAGTCATTGGATGGCTCACTCACCCTGTGAGATACGAGCCTCAGTGTCCATCCTTCCTGGGTGCCACCTACATTGGATCCTTGGGTGCGGAGAGAGAGGCAATGACGCGGGCCGCCTTATGGCGGTTAACACAGAACGTCAACACGCCCACACTGTTTCGCACGGACTCGTGGACCACGGCCATGCAAGCCCAAGGTTTGATTGGAACCGCCTCGGTGGACCAATCCTTTGCCAGCCTGAGAGGCTGCTTTCAAGCATTGGAAGCTGCACTTCATGATCGTCTCCATGTAGAACACACGCCTGGTCACTGCGGCGATCCATTCAATGATTTCGCTGACTGGCTTGCCACTGAGGAAAGGAAGCGTAGTTTCTACAACAAGAGGCAACAGCTCTCCATGAACACCTGGCGGCCACTTTTGCCCTACATGTGGATGCTCTTCAGCAAGACTGATGGACTTCCGTCATGGGATGCTAGTGGCTTTCATGTTCCTCCTCCATTGCTCCCTTCTCTACATGCAACCACTGAGAGCAAGGAGTCTGGAACGGAGACACAGGAGATGGCCCAGATCAATATCAGTTTCTGCAGCGCCAACATTGGCTCCATGTACAATGGCGAATGGGGCCATGCGGGGAAACTTGATTATCTACGTGCCCAAGTTAAACTGCTGAACCTCAACTTCATTGGCTTGCAGGAAGCTCGCACGCCAGAACTTTGCTCCCGCACACAACAAATTCTGCGTTTTGCCAGTGGAGCCCACTTGGGATGTTATGGCATTGAACTGTGGATCAACATGGAACAGGCGTATGCCGAGACTGCGGATGGCCCTGTGTATTTTGAGCCGCACCACTTTGTCGTTGTGCACAAGGACCCTCGCTGCTTGCTTGTCCATGTGGTCACTGACTTGGTAGACTTCTGGATTGTTGTGGGGCATGCACCCCAGAGTGGCACGCCTTTTGCTGAACGCATGGCCTGGTGGGAGCAACTTGCCCACATCACTGCCTGTTGTCCCTTGGATGCGCGTTTCTACGCACTCCTTGATGCTAATGCGGGCCCTGGACTGGCAGACCATGTCTCTGTCTTTGACACGGTTGGTGGCACCACATCGAGCACACCATTACTGAGGGCCTTCCTGCAGGAGCGTGATCTTTGTCTGCCCTGTACCTCTCAATGCCATGAAGGTCCTCGGACTACTTGGGTTGCGCCAGATGGTCTCTCTGAGCACATGATTGACTACATTGCCATTCCCAGGACTTCTCTGCATGAGTGTCTCCTCAGCAAGGTTGTTGAGGAGCTTGACCTGGGCAACAGCCATCATGACCATTCTGCCATTGCTGTCCAGTTGCAATGGTATGAGACACGTACTACACGGTCAGGCACAGTGGACCACAAGAAGGTCAGCATTGACTATGACAACCTTCAAGGTCATCATGTCCGTCAAGCTCTACATGATTATGTGGTCCCGGCATGGACTGAGGATATTGAATTGCAAGTCTCCCATTTCAATGGCCAAATTCTTGGAAGCCTGCAGAAAACGTGCCCACGCGCCAAACAAAAGCCGAAGAAGCCCTGCATTGATGAGGCCACATGGCAACATCGCACCCAAAAGTTGATTGCCCGTCGTGGACTTCGACAGCTTGCCAAACATTGCAGAGGAGAAATTCTTCGTGCCTGTTTTTCTGCCTGGCACTCTCAGACTGACTATGACGTCGACCGATTCTGGCAATATCGCAGATGGCTTCTTTGTGCCAATGTCAAGCTTATGGCAAGGCATTACATCCACGCCAAGCAGCTCAAAGAGCGACTGCAAGCCAGAAAGACGGCCTATCTCCGACAGACCTTTGAGAATTTGCCTCATGATGCGCCGGCCTCCTCCATCCTACATGAGCTCAAGAAGGTTGTCGGATCCACGAATCTACGATCCATCAAACAGCAAACCCTGCCGATGGTTCGCAACTCTGAAGGGCTTCTTTGCACCACCCCGGCACAGGCGCTGGATACTTGGATCCAGTTTTTCCAAGAGATGGAGGGTGGCAAAAGAATGGAATCAGCTGACCAACGTTGCCTATGGGTTCAAAATTTGAAGGAGTTTCGGGCACAATCCTTGGCCCTGGACATCACTGACATTCCATCCCTGGTGGAGCTGGAGGCAGCCTTCAGACATGTCAAGCCCCACAAAGCGACTGGTCCTGACCTTATTGACGCAAGCATTTGTGCACGATCGCCGGCCATTGTGGCGCGCAAGACGTACAGTCAATTGCTGAAGCTCTATACACATGGTCAGGAAAGCCTCCTCCACAAGGGCGGCCGCCTTCAACCCATATGGAAGCAAAAGGGTCCGCGGGACACCTGTGCGGCATATCGCAGCATCCTTATTTCTTCGCACATCGGCAAAGCGCTACATCGATGCCTTCGATTGCACACTGCTGAGGCCTTCGAGCACTATTTGCAGCGGCAACAGACTGGAGGGAAGAGAGGGATTTCTGTCACTATGGGTGTCCATCAAGCCCGTGCATACTTAAGGGCTCGACTTTGTCAGCGGCAATGTGTCGGACTCCTATTTTTGGACTTGACGGAAGCATTCTACCGCATTGTGCGTCAGCTAGCGCTGGGCGGCCCGATCGACGACGAAGCCATTGCCACGGTCGGTGCACGCCTCAAGCTAGGCCCTGATCTTCTTCATGCGCTTCATGACCATCTTGAGGAGGCATCAGCGGTTGATCGTGCCGGTATTTCTCCCCAACTTCAGAAAGTTCTCCGTGCCCTGCACACGGACACACACTTCTTTGTGGGCATTCAGCGAGACGCTTGCAGAACATCCCTAGGCACCAGACCTGGAGATTGCTTTGCGGACATCGTGTTCTCCTTTCTATGGGCTCGCCTTCTTCACAGATTGGAGCAGACGTTGAGCGAGCTTGGTATTTTGGATTCTTTTCCTGATGAACCTGGACTACGACATCCACACCATTCTGAGCTTACCTCTGCCATTGAGACCAAGCCCTTCCTTGGCCCCACTTGGATGGATGACACCTGTGTGGCATTTGCTCAAAGCTCACCTGTGATGCTGGAGTGGGCCGCGGGACAAGTCGGAGGTTCTTTGCTTAGCTTCTGTGAAGAGTTCGCCATGACACCGAATTTGGCCAAAGGTAAGACTGAGCTCATGATGGTTTTCCAGGGCGCTGGGGCGAACAAAGCCAAGCTCAAATACTTTGGTCCGACTTCGCCCCACACTTTCCCGGTCGTTCTTGATGGAGGAGTCCAACATCTCAGTGTTGTGAGCTCCTATACCCATTTGGGAGGCACCATCCATCACAGAGGGGATTTGCGGCGTGAAGTTCGGCGGCGACTCAGTATTGCCCATGCGGCCTTCACCAGGCATCGGCGCCTTTTATTTCAAAATCGTGGCCTGGATCTACGTCGACGCCGAGAACTGTTCCGCACATTGATCCTCAGCAAGCTTCTGTACGGAGCAGAATCTTGGATTCTCCGTGATGGCCGAGACAAGCAGTATCTTCACAGTGCACTCCTTCGACTCTATAATCGACTTCTACCTGTACGACATGAGGCCCCCAGAAGCGATGCGGACATTCTAGTTGAAACAGGTCTTCCAGACCCTGCAGTGCTCTTGCGGATCTGCAGACTCAGGCATTTGGGACTCCTATATAGGAGTGGAGATAGCACATCTTGGGGACTCTTCAATGAGGACAAGGAGTGGCACGACCTTGTCTGGAATGACTTGACCTGGATGTGTGCCCAACTCCGCCATTCTTCGAAGCTTCCTGATCCCATGCAAGGTTTCCAGCAATGGGAGTACATCATGAGGTATCATCCAGGCTTCTGGAAGCGTTTGGTTCGCAGAGCAGGAGATCATGACAGTGGACAGAGGAGCAACCTACAGATTGTCACGCGCTTTCATGGGGACTTTCTGAGTATCCTTCACGCTCATGGTCGGCTCTGTCACTCGGCACCGCAGACCGAGATCCACATGCCTGAGTTGACTCACGCGTGCATGATGTGTGAGCGCAAATTTCGCAGTAAGGGTGGCTGCGGAGCCCATCTTTTCAGGGTGCATGGCAGAGTCAACCCGGTTCGGCACCTCTTTGCTACTTCGCAGTGTGGCGCTTGCATGAAGGACTATCACACTTTTGCGAAGTTGAAGGTGCATCTCCTTCATGCTACGACATGTCGTCATGCTCTACAAGCACGGAGATGCAGATGGAGGCCGACACCGGGCGCTGGCTCCCAGGTCAACAACGAACTTGAAGTCTCGCATGACGGACTCCTACCGCCTCTTAAAGTTCATGGGCCTTTGCAAGAACCTGTTCCAGGACGAGCAGATGAGGACTACGACCAGGACCTCTTGGAAGAGATCTTTGTTGACATTCTTGACGCGGCAGACCTTGATGAGTGTGAAGCGCTTATCCGGAAGGCTGCACGTGGAAGAGCCATTTCCTGGCTTATGTTTCAAGCCACCTTAACGCAGTTCATTGACATTTTTACGGACGAGGATGCAGCAGTATTGCATGTCCCTGGTGATGCTCTACGTGCTCTTCTTCGCTCTTTGTGTTCTCCTTCGGCGTGGGATTTCTTGGTTGACGGAGGGAGAGACAAGCGTTCTCCCTGGCATCGGGACATCGCCATATTGGAGCGACACTGCGTTTTGGAAAAGGAGGAGATCGAGACCAAGTCGCTCCAGGTTTCACCTTCGAAAGGATTTGCAAGGGAACGTTACATTCTCCATCTTTTTGCGGGCCGACGCAGACAGGGTGATTTCCAGTACTTTGTTGACAGACTTGTTGAACTGCACGACCCTTTTTTCATCCAGGTCATCTCAGTCGACATTGTCATTAGCAAACAATGGGGAGATCTCTCCCGGGAAGACTCACGCCAGTTCTGGACTTCGGCGATTTTGACACGCCAAGTTGTTGCTCTACTTGGCGGTCCTCCTTGCGAGACATGGTCACGCGCTCGTGGTCGTGCCCTGCCTGGAGACGGACACCCTCAGCGCGCTGGACCTCGCATTGTCCGCACCCTGGAGGAGATATGGGGCCTTGCGTCTCTGTCGCTGCGTGAGTTGCAGCAAGTGACAATTGGCAACATTTTGATGGGCTTTCAATTGGTTTCTATGGCGGCTTTGGCGTGTGTCGGTGGCGTTGCTGTGGTTGAACACCCGGCAGAGCCAGCAGATGGTGACGCAGCTTCGATCTGGCGCACTCCCATCATGCAGCTGCTGCTTGCCTTTCCTGAGTGCGAGGTCTTGACCTTGGCCCAAGGCCTTTGGGGTGCTCAGTCGGCAAAGCCGACTACTTTAGGAGTGCTCAATGCCCCGGGTCTGAAATTGGAACTTCACCGTGGTCGCATCACCTCTGATCTTCCTAAAGGTGTTTCCATTGGAAAGGACCAGACCGGCCAGTGGGCGACTGCCCGATTGAAGGAATACCCTCCGGGCCTGTGCCTAGCACTTGCTAAGGGCATGCTAAAGGCAATTCAAAGAATCCCTGAGAACAATGCCCTGCATAACAAAGAGGTATTTGAAGCCATGGTATGTTCGCACTATGGCCAATCTTTTGGCCCAGATTATGCAGGTTGAGTGTTTTTGCTTTGCACCTTTTCTTTGGGCTGCGGGACGGTCCCTGCCCGAATTCATTCGTGACCTTGCTATGGCCGCAGCGGATTGTCGCTCCTTTGAGTCTTTGCCAAATATATATAATAATAATACTAATAATAATAATATATATATATATTAGGGGATATATAGAGGATATCATGGGATAATTAGATATAAATAGATATTTAAATACAATTAATGAAATATAGTATCGTCAACGATATGAGAAGGTCTTGCCGAAGCCATGACCTGGTCAACCAGTAGATCCAGG